GTAGATATTTTGTTAATCAATGGAGAACAATCCACATATGATATCCTCTTAGAGATTAATGGTACACCCAAGTATCTCACAGGCAGCACTCCTTCAAAAAAATTAAGGAGAGCACAGATTTGAGCTTTTAAATCATCATCAATACCACTCATGTATATAGAGCACTTATTAGGATTAGTTTCTAATCTAGAGACATAGCTGAAATCTGATAAGCATTCCTTCAACCTTGCAATAGAGTGTATATCAGCTTTGCAAAAAAGCAACAAATCACCAGCAAAGAAGAGATGAGAAATTTTCAGCCTGGAACATTTTGGATGATATTTGAATAGATTATCATCTTTGAGCATGCATAATCTTCTTGAAAGATACTCCATTCCTAGAACAAACATGTATGGAGAGAGTTGATCTCCTTATCTTAAACCTCTAGCTCCCTCAAAGTAGCCATGTAGTGTACTATAATGTTAATGATAGCTCTTGCAGTTGAATACTTCCTGCCATAGTGTTTAAACAATTCATGAGCTAGAAGAATGTTACTAGAGATAAGCCTTCCTTTAATAAAAGCACTTTGAGCTTCATTTATCAGATATCCCATAACCCCTTGAATCCTGATTGCAATAACTTGTGAGATGATTTTATACACACAATTGCAACATGAAATGGGTTTATAATCTGAAGGAGATTTAGAGTTGAGAATCTTAGGCACCAAAGTAATAGATGTACTATTGAGAGCTCCAAGAAGTTTACCAGATTTAAAGAACTCCTCTATAGCAAGAAGAAGATCTTCTTTAATCAAATTCCAGGTTGCCTTGAAGAAAGCAGCAGTATAGCCATCTGGACTAGGTGCTTTTTTATTATCCATAGAAAATAATGCTTGTTTAATTTCTTCTCTAGTAACTAGAGCACCCAGATTATTTGCCTGATCAGAGGAGAGGACATGCCCTTTTGATATCACTTCAGGTTTAATATCTGCAAAAGAAATAGTATAGCCCAGGAGATTTTTGAAGTAAGCAATGAATTTATTTGTGATATCAAACTTATCAATAAGTCTTTCCCCATTATCAGAATATATGGATATGATCTTTTTATGGTGCCTTTTTGTCTTCATAATAGAGTGAAAAAATTTGGAGCATTTATCACCATGTAAACCTCATTTCATGTTTGCCTTTTGTCTATAGAAAGAAACTTCAAAATCAATCAGCCTGATATAGGTATTCAGACAATTCTTCTCTTTTGATATTAGATCAGAATTGAAGGGATCATATATTAAGTGTTGTTGGATTTTAGAAAGCTCCCCTTTGGCTCTTATAACCTACTCACTAATATTCATGAATGCCTTTTATTCAAATATTTTAAAACTGGTTTGAGATTTTTTAGTTTTGTAACAAGCTTATACATATAATAGCCCCTGAGATCTTGTTCCCAAACAAATTTGACCTTTGTATTGAATTCAGGATGCTTAATCCACATGGAGAAAAATTTGAATGGTTTCTTCCCTTCACAAATCTCATCATCACTAATTGTCACCAATGTTGGAGAATGATCTGAAAAGTTTGGCACTAAAAAATCAACTTGACTAGAAGTATATTTAAGAATCTAATCCTTATTTACCAAAACCCTATCCAATCTTCTCCAAATTCTGGTATTAGCATCCTGTTTATTACACCAAGTGAAAATACACCTAGTAGCTTTAATATGATGTACCTGATTCAGATCAATAAATTTTGAAAGTCTTCAGTATCAGATTCAGATACTTGAGATCCACCTAATTTTTCCTCATTGCTAATAATAGCATTGAAATTTCCACATACAATAAGTTATCAAGGACAAAACAATTCTACTTCTTCATGTCTCATCCGTTGACGAGCTTACAGATTTCTTCACAAAGGCCTTACCCGTTCATCGATTCCAGTTTCTTGTACGCAAACTTATTTTGTTTGATCCAACAAGAGTTTCAGGGGGGTATTGATAATATTATGTTAGTAGTGGGTTTAGTCCCACATTGGTTATGAGGACAAACCTCACTCTCCTCTCTGTGTATATATATATGTACACACTTAATATTCAATTCAATGGAAATTTATTCAAGACACACACACACACACACACACACTCTCTCTCTCTCTCTCTCTCTCTCTCTCTCACTTTAACATATATGAAGTTCAAGTTTCAATTTGCAGTTTAAAGAAAAAGAAACAAAACAAAAAATTGAAAAGACATGCATTTTCACTTTTTTTTTGTCAATGAAAATTTTATTCATTCAACCGTATGGAAGTTTATGTACATAAACAAAACTCATGGATTGAGTTATCTACATAATAATACAAGGAGAATATTTTTGTGCTTGAATTTCAGTCCAGTTTTTAGCTGCAATATCTGACTGCAACAACTATAAAGAGAGCATCTAGTTTTTGTTCTCCACAGGTAACCTGCTGTTAAGAACTACTATCAGTAAATCCAATTTGATACATTTGATGAGTTACTCAATAGTTTTGGATCTCTGCTTGAACATTCTTCCATTGCGTTCCAACCATATATTGTAGATAGAGGAGGTGAGAGCCATCCTTTTAACATTGAGATTAAAAACTTTCCTCCACTGATTGGCTCCATACCAGTTCATTAATAGATTCCAATCATAACTTTTCTAATTGAATTGTAGCCAATTCATTACTCCATTCAAGACATCACTCGAAAATTTGCATTCAAAAAACAGATGGTTACGAGTTTCAGCTCCTGAATTTGCACATAATACGCATTGGCTGAATTGAATGACCCCTCGTCTAAGCAACTTATCTTGTGTTAGTAGTCTATCTTGGACAACTAACCACGAGATGAAAGAGTGCTTGGGGTAATTTAAACCCCCCCATATTGTAATATTCCATGGAATTTTGTTTGTAGCAGGGGTTAAGGCATGATATAAGTCTAAAAGTATAATTTTTGAGCTTCTGCAACAGGATCTGATTAAGCTTATTATATTTTCCTCTCCACCACAATAATCCAAAACTTTATTCTTGACTTTCAGCAGCTGCTTCCATAACCAGGAATCACTATTTTTCATATCAACTTGACATATACTCTTGTGTTTGAGATAAGTGCCATGAACCCATTTAATCCATAAAAGCTCTTTGTTTGTGTGAATATCCTATAGAGTCTTTAAAGCTGCATCTTTGTTCCATGTGATTGAGCAGAAAATCCCCAGGCCACCATACATTTTCCCTGTGCAAACTCTATCCCGGGATACCAATGGAGTTTTGAAAGTTTGATATTTTTCCCCTAAAGGAAATTCCTGCAGAGTTCATCCTCCTTCTGGAGCACTTTGACTGGAAGAACATAATTGGATGTCTAGTAAATTTGAATGCCAAGAATGACACTCTTGATAATCTGTAGCTTGCCTACGTAAGATAACTTTTTGAGTTTCAAATAGCTTTGAAACTGGTTGGTGATTTTGGTGAAGAGAGAGTTGCATTCCAGAAAGGTTAATCTCTTGCACAACACTCGCTCGGAAAAGGGCTGACTAGTTCTGTCATCCACTAGGGGAACTCCTAAATATTTGATTGGCATTTTCCCCTTAGTGAATCCCAGATAGGTTCGGATAGATTCTTTGGTTTCTTCATCTACACCTCCGTAGAAGATGACACACTTGTTAGGATTTGCTTCTAGGCCAGAGACTTCACTAAATTTTGTGACACATTGATATAACTTCTGTATAGAGTTCAAGTTACCTTTGCTAAATAACAAGAGATCATCAGCAAAGATTAAGTGTGATATTTTGAGCCTCCCACACTTTGGATGAAATTTAAAACTTCTATATTGCTTCAGAAAATCTAAGCTTCTTGAAAGGTACTCCATACCCAAAATAAACAGATAAGGGAAGAGAGGATCTCTTTGCCTTTGCCCCCTTTCCCCTTTGAAGTATACATGTAAAGAGCCATTGAGTGAAATGGAATATTTTGGAGTAGTTATGCAAGTCTTGATCCTATCAGCCAGCACATTTGGAAAGCCCAATCCATCGAGCATATCCTTTATGAATTTCCAGCTGATTATGTCTAAGGCCTCTCTTAATATCAATGTTAATCATGGCTCTAGGAGAGAAATGTTTTCTGCCATAATTCTTGACCAACTCATGAGCTAACAAGATATTATTTGCATTTTCACTTTCAACAACATTTGTATAACAAAAACCTAACACAAACAACCATCTCTTAAAAACAAGGAACTTAATCCAGTATCTGAACATCCTAACAACACTAATTAATTAAACAATAAAACACAGGAGATCAACAGCAACTTCAACTGCTAACCCTACTACAGTACTCTTTAAAGTTTAAGTTACAAACCTAAAAACAACACCCCCCCACCCACAACCCGCCCACCCCACCCCCACTCCATCTCCCATTCATTGCAAACTCGCTCCACCAGAAGTCCGTCGCAGACTCGCCGCCGCGACGACTTCAGCTCCGGAATCAACGATTCCGGCCTGCCGACATGTCTCATCAATGGTTCCACCACCAAAAAAATCCCCTCGTCAAACCCTCTAACCCTTCTGAAAATTTCCCGCCTCGTCAGTACTACCGAAGGCTCCCCCAAAATCCGCCGCATTCGCCATTTGCTGAGCGGTTCATCAGATCGTGCAGATGCGTGTTGTTCTGCTAGTCGTAGCGCCCATCTGTGCCGCGCTTCTGCAGCAGAGCAGTGGCAGACAATCTGAGGGAGAACATGCTCTTGAGCATTGTACAGAGAGTCGAGCGTGGTGGATCGTTCGTTCATCATTGGACCAGCGAAGAGGTGGTAGTTCGACTGTTCGTTGAACAGCCGCTCAGGTTGAAGAGGTTTTGTTGATTGGCTGCTGGGGACGAACGAGGGGTCGTGCTGCAGGTGCATTAGGCCGTGGAAGGGCTCTCGTTGGTAAATTCTTGGTGGTGGTTTTTTGCGGGGGTGGGCCCCAGAAAGAAGGGGGGAGGGGTTTGAGGAGGTGGGGGGGAAGGAAGGTGGTCGAAATTGGCTTAGGCGGAGGAGTTGGAGGAGGGTGGGGTGGTGGTCCTTGGAGGTGTGAGAAGTGGGGGTGGCTGATGTGGAGAAGGCCGAGGTTGATTGTTGTTTGGCGGCGCGGAGAAGGCGGAGTTGCCGAAGAGGTGGCTGCCGAGGGTGGTGAGGCTCGTCGGAGCCGAGCGTCTTTCTTGGGCTAGGGCGTCGCAGAATGCCCGGTGGGTGATGAAGCTGTCACGCCTGCGTGTTGTGAATCATATATATGATAAGAGATGTTAGCTAGCTAGTTCTCGAGTGATATCCTCTTACCAAATTAAAGTACCCTCTTTTGATTAAGCAAGCATGAATGTATGAGGGATAAAAACATATTTCAATTTAAATGTGGTTTATCATGCCTCAGCCATAGACATATTGTTGGTATCAGGCTATCTCTTTCATCTGTTAATCACGTCCATGTGGTATTTATGATTATTTATGATTATTCATGATTCTTTTTCAATGTATATATAGCCAACGTGCCAAAGTATTGGTGTATTGTACAGAAATCCAATTTTGTATCAGAAAGAATAATAATCGCTTCATACAATAGTGAGCGATTTGGACTGAGACAATAAAAGTACTATTCGGAGATTCCAGTCTCCAACAACTCCAGTTGCAAGCTGGAGGACAATTTTATACATATCCAATATTAGGATTATTTCCCCTAGACACAGCATCAAATTAATGTACAATATAATTTCTTATATGTTCAAGCACTAATTGTTTTCGAGTTAGAAGAATGTGAAAGCGTAAATAAAGAATAAAAATGTCATAGGCAAGTCTAAATAATTAGTTGAACATGTACGTAGAAAAACATAAATTTGCTACTAAGTGCTACTCATGAGAATATATACCAGAAGATATACAAAAAGGGGTCATTACACCCATTTTGCAACTGCAATTCGAATTCCCAACGTCTCTGAATGGACAAGTCTATTCCAGGGCTAGTCAAATTCTAACAATCTAACCTAGTTAAATTCACAAAAGAGAGGACAAATTTGGCAATCTCTATGTAACATCCCTTCAAAGAATCGAGCTACAGCTTCCTAAATCCAAGATTACGATGTAAATTAATTAGAAACTAGCAAGCTACAATATTTGAAGGTGACTTGATCACTTGTGAGAGGAAATTCGAGGGATCAAAGAACGGCCCTTGCTCGGTAACTAATTAATTAATTAAGAAAACAAAAGTGGAAGCACTAAAGAAAACTCTCCTCAAATGAGGAAAGAGACGATCCTTTTCAAGAAAAGCCCATTTCTAGGACCGGCTCTTCAGTTAATGCGACGAGGGAATTTTTGCGACAAACATGAAAGCCATCAAATCCATACCTCATCAATAAAAACACTTCATTAAATACCAAACCCACATGAAGTCATTGCATTCTTCCCAACGCAAAGAATTTAGCCCATTTCACGAAACCCCCCACCAATTAAATTCACCCCCCCTTATTAATTGCTAACTGAAACTGAGTCACATTCCAAATGAAATTTGCCATGTCAGTAACTTACAGGCTAGAGAGAGAGAGAGAGAGAGAGAGAAGGAGCTCTTGTTTCAAGATCCAGCTCTAACGTTCTTATGAAAAGGTGGACCTGCCCAATGCAGAGGACCCGCACACACATCTAGCCAACCCACAACCGAACAAGCCCCTGCTCTACTGCTTACATGGCTACACGTGAACGAGGAGAGAGAAACTAGAGAGAGACACCTCATCCCTGAGATAAAAAGATGATAGCCTTTTTGAAAACTCGACGACCATGACCACCCCCTTGACAATTCACATGCTGCAAACCCTAACCCTAACCCTAAAAATATCCCCTAATAAAAATGCCGGCCCTCAAGACCCTACGTTGATACCCTCAAAGCATTGATTTCCTTTTGGATCAAAACTCTGAAGTTATATCGCACTGAGAATTTGATTAGGCTAATATATAATGTTATACCCTAAGTAGAAAGTTGATTACCTCGAGAAGAGAGTGCCGCAGTCACAACGATACTCTCTAGTTCCACAGGTCTTCGAGTGAGCTTTCCAGTCCGACTGCACTGCATATCGTTTGGAGCACTTGTCGCACTTCCACTTCTTCTCGCCGTGTTTTCTGCAGAAGTGCTTCTTGATTCCGGTGAGGTCACCGAGAGCCCTTGACGGATCGTGGTGGACGCATGTCGGTTCAGGGCAGAGATAAACTCGCCTTCGAACTTCTTTGTGGTTCTTCTGCTTTAGTTTCCATGGAAGATTGTGGCCTCGGCGATGGAGCTGTAGATTCTGCTCGCGCTGGAAACCCTTGTTGCAGACTTCACATATGAACCGGTTAGTCGCCATTAGGGTTTTTGGCGAGAGAGCGATGACCTCCGCGTCGGGATCTGGGGAAATTGATGTAATTAAAGACATGCATGAGGAGGAGATTAGAACTGGGTGAGGGATTTAGGTTAAACAATTTGGAAGAATAATTAGTAGGTCTGTTGATGTGGATTGGGATTTGGGGAATTAGTGTAATTAACCAATCAATTGAAAAATATGTGTTAGGTGAGATGAGATACTGAAAAAATAACCATCGATCGATGTTTGGGAGACTGTGAGAATGCTGATTTCAGGACTGAATAATCTGATCAGAAATGTCTATTTTATGTGGGGATACTGAGAATTCTAATTCTCCAAACAGGAAAACAGGGATAAAGATGAAGAAACCACTGTTTTCCTTATGCCCATGAAAAAAAGGGAGATAAAAAAAAAAACAAAAACAAAAAACAAAAACTGTTCAAGTTAATTTCCATAAATCGATGAATTGGGTGCTCAAAACAATTAGAAAAATATAGATCAAATGAAAATAAACATCAATCAAAGCTCCGATGAAACCAAGAAGTTTATTTTGAACGACTATGGTTTTGGGATCTAGTAGAATCAATAAAAACTTCAAAAAACAAAGGCATGCATTAAATAATTTCTTCACCAAGGATGAAACATGTGAAGAGGTAATACGTGAGTTTAGATACTTGCTTGGAGTTCCCGGTAGATTCCTCTTCTTCTTCACAGGAGGAGGAGCTGAAGCTTGAGGAGTATTTACAGTGGCCGTTGCCATCGGATTCGAAATAGTCTGTTGCTGCTGACCATCTCTGATACAAAAAAAA